AAAAAAAAAAAAAACAGACTGCCAATACAGCTATAAGACAGTTAACAGTAATTTAGTAATGCTATACAATAATTCTAACGTTATTCTATCTTGTTTTTAAAAGTAACAGAGTGGCGCATGCCTACAATCCCAACACTCAAAAAACCGAGGCAGAACAAATTCAAGACCAGCGGGAGCTACTTATAGTGAGGTCAAGGCCAGCCTGAACTACATAATGAGACCCTTTCTCAAAAAAGAAAGAAAAAAAGGTAGCAAAATTTTCTATACTATAAGAAATGTATGTGCAGAAAATAAATACATTTTATTTTTTTATTTTTGTTTTGCGGAACCGGGGATTGAACTCAGGCCCTTGTGCTTGCCAGGGAAGCACTTATTCCACTGAGCCATCTCCCCGGCCCAAGAAATATATTTTAATAATATTGCCTTCAATCATTCTATGTGAACACATACGTGTGTGTGTGTGTGTGTGTGTGTGTGTGTGTGCGTGTGACAAGGTCTTGTTACATAGCTTGGGCTGGCCTCAAATTTACAATCCTTCAGCCTCAGCCCTCTGCTGAGATATAAATACACACTACCTTACCCACCTCCACACTCACTTTCTTTTGTAATACTGGCCGGAAACTGACCCTTGAGTGCATTAAACTGTGTATTTCTAACCCGATTTAATCTTGAGGCACGGTCTTCCTAAATTGTCCAAACTGGTCTCAAAACTCAAATCTTGCTCCCTCTGCCTGCTGAGTAGCTGGGATTACAGCAGTGTACTGTCACACCTTGCACACTCACTTCTTGATAGAGTTTTGGGCACTCTGGATTAAAGCGAAGAGCCCGAAGAAACAAATGCCTTGCGCTTTCTGAAGACAAGCGATCTTCCATTTCCCACTTGGCCGCCATAATCCACAAAGCTATGAAAGAAAAAACACCAGACTTCACATCAGTCAATTAATCATGTTAGGTAAGAACCAATTCTCCATTTTTAATACTTAAGGTTTGTTTGGTTTTGCTGTACTGAGGATTTAAATCCAGAGCCTTTACACTGAGCTGTATCTCCAGCTCTTTTTTATTTTGAAACAGGGTCTTGCTAAACTGCCCAGCTTGAACTGGGTTCAAGCTTATGATCCTCCTGCCTCAGCCTCCCAGAATGGCAGGCATGTGCAACTACACCTGGTTAATTTTTTTTTTTTTTTTTAATTTAGCTACTAAAGGAGAAGGGGACAGAAAGAGCTCCTAACTATAAAGTTGTACTGCTCCAGCACCACATGCTCTCCCGGCCCTTCCCTAGGGTGCGCTGAGTGCTGGGGAGGCTGAAAAGAAGAGATCACTATGAGTCCAAGATGCATAGTGAGACCCTGTACCAAATACACAAAACATAATAAATAAATAGTTTTGGGCTGGCCAGATGGCTCAGAGGACTAAAGCACACCCCACCCCACGCTGAGACTGGGATGGAGACTGGATGTGGTGGCACATGCCTGTCTATAATCTCAGCACTTGGGAGGCTGAAAACAGAAGAATCACTATGAGTTTCATCTATGTAGTAGGACCCTATAGACCCTGTACTAAATACAAAAAAAAAAAAGTTTTACTGCTCTAAGGCAGAAGGTGTATTCCAGTAAGTAAATGCTAACATATATTCATTCTTGGGGCCAGGGAGATGGCTCAGTAGAATAAGTGCTTGCCTGGTAAGCACAAGAGCCTGAGTTCAATTCCTGGTTCTGAAAAAAAAAAAAAAAAAAAAAAAAAAAAAAAAAACATATATTCATTCTGGATAACGAATACCTGTGTCTTATTATTGTATTACTATATTTCAGCTTTCTTGAGAAGCTGTATTTCACCAGATTTAAGGACAACGTAAGTATTTTAAATCACATACAAATCTGAAAAGTATTATGATATAGGGGAAAATATCTGTATCTTAGAATCAGTAAATTATTTCTGCACTTTTTTATATTTAAATTGTTCAATTAGCCAGGTGCAGTGGCACATACCTGTAATCCCAGCACTTGCGAGGCTGAGGCAGGAGGATTGCTGGGAGGTTGAGATCAGCCTGGGCTACAAAGTGAGTTCCAGGCCAACCTGAACTGCATAGTGAGACTCTAACTCAAAAAGACAAAAAAAAAAGAAAGAAAGAAAAACTTAACTAAAAAAAAAATTTTTTTATCTTTCTACGTGGGAAATTAACCCCATGTTAACATTCTAGCTATTTCCTAGAAGTACAAGGGCACATTTCTCACCAGGTAAAGCAGTTTATGTCAAAAAAAAAAAA